AAGAACGTATGCAGATAAATACAACGCGTACCTCCAAAAATGACACCCCCGTCCCAACATTCAGCACCATGTGACGTACCTTCACATTCTCTATAGCAATAACAGCAAAGGTGTTATAAACAGACAACAGCTCTCCTAATGCTTGGTATATAGTCACTGTTGATGTTTCAGTAGTTTAACACATCAACGTCATTAATGTTGCTTGACACAAAAAAATACAGACTAAAAAGAATCTAAAGGAAACCAGTCTGAAATGACAAGCATGTGTGTCCAGATATGGATTTTACATGTCCACAGGTTGTGCTCAGACTGTACACATCACACCACAGCTTTGGCCTACAACACTGTGTAACAAATGAAGGGCACCTACATATTTAAGCCTCACACTCCTTTACTCTGTGTGTGTACACTGACCTGATGATTTGTTCGTCATGCACCTTTTATCATCATCAACCCTGAGCATGGCATACAGTCTCTGGCTAATCACCTTCCCCCACTTCCAGCATCATACAGTAGCTCTTCAGATTGCCAAATTATTTACAGAGGAGGTTTACTGTATGTCCTTACGTGAACTGTCTCATAAACCACAACTGCCTCTCCTACTGAGAGTATCAATGCCATACCACTGAAACCAGAGAATTAGTATTGTTTTGTCCTTTAAGACTGTTCACTCAATTTCCTGCAATGCTATAGACTTGATGTTGCGGTTTACATTAAAGCACTATAACCCCAGGTTTCTCTGAAATGTCCTTATAACAGCATTGCCTTGTGATTAGTAGCCACATATGAAAATCCATGAGTCACATTTCTTGCACCTCATGCTGTCTCAGCATAAAACTATTAGTCATTCTTATTTTTTTTGTCAGCCTACAGTATCTGCACACAACAGTTTGAACAGGATTAGCAGAAAGACATGAAGATCATCATTAATGTCATGCGTGCAGCTTTTTTCAGGTCAAACAATGACCTTAGCTGGAGATTGTGAAGCACAGGTGTGGTGTGAGAGGCGTAGTGTGTGCAGAAATCATTTATGGCTGTCTAAGTAAACTATACCAGGATAACAGTCAACATGTAGTAATATGACATTTTAAGCAATTTCTTTAATGCATGATGATCATTTTAGACAAAACTGAATCTGTTTTGTTTGTACACTTGAGGGAAAATAAATCAGGGTGGTGGAGAATCACTCCTGTTTTAAGTGTCAATAAATCCTTCACTGTACTGCAGAGGACAAAATAGCCTGAGGAGGTACAGCACAACACTCATAATGTGATTATAAATGTTGCTGTTCATCCAGTAATGACACTTAGTGAAAATCTTGACATTAATTGGAGCCTCTTTTGTTGAATCAGCTGAGTGATGTCAGCTCAGTCATTCTGTGGCTGCAAGTCAACAGCAGCTTCTTTGAAGAGCTTCATTTTTTCATTAAGAATTTCATACTATAATGTTTGAATGCGGTTGATACAAATCATATATGGGCGTCAGTTTGTGTGGGATGTTTGACATTGATTTATCAACTAATAGCCAATAACTGTTCATTTATTTTGTAGCTCCTGTGTTAGTGAGCATGTATACAAAGTTTTTGGCACTGTTATCAAGATAACTATCAACTAAATACAATATTGAGCCTTTAAGATAAATTATATTCGCGTTGTCACCCTATTTGCTACTTGACAGTGCGGCCTGAAAGTAAGTGGCCTGTGTCCTGTACAGGTTTGTTTATATCTAATCATTTGCATATAATGCGAAGTTCAGTATCAGTGACCTGAGATAGACACTCACACTAAAGGAAAAGTTCAACATATGCTGAGCATTAAATAAGAATTTTGATGCCACTCTTGCTTTGTTTGCTAAATATGAATCTACAACCAGGATATGTAACTAGCTTAGCTTTGCATAAAGATTAGAAACATGAGGAAGCAGGAGCAACTCTAAAGCTCACCAATTAACACGTTACTGTATATCCCATTTGATTTGTACAAAACAATTGCCTTTTAACAAGGGGTTATGTGCTGAACTATTGCTTGGTCAGGATCAGTTGCCAGGCAACCAGTGGAGAGTCCAGGAAGTTACTGGCCCGGCCCAGCAGATAGTAAGCCTCAGCCTTTCTTGCTGGCTGCATGCAATCATGAGTGGTATCAGTCTTCTCACCTAATGCTGTGCAAGAAAGGAAATATTTCCCAAAAAGTTAAATGTTTCCTTTAAAATATGTTACACAAATTACATATTGTTAGGTATTTTTAGTCAGATAGATATTGGATAGATACTTTATGTATTAGAAATGTTTAGTGGAGATAGGATGTCTAGTTAGACTGTTAAATGCTTAGTCATGCTTATGAGTTTCTACAGGGTACATCTGGTCAAGGATAACTAGAGAGAAGAGTTGATGACTGTCAGCAGACAGGGTGTTTAATATTATTATTATGACGTGTATAACTGTAGCCTTAGCCATAATATGTTCTTATGTTTAAGCCACGACATGTTACTAGAAGTCTGTGAGAATGTTTTTAGTTACACACCACTTAATCAACAGACACACGCACATTGATTTGCTTCATGTTTGACTAATGCTATGACCAGCTGCAAAGCTGGTACCAGAGACGTCTCGGTTGACGTTTCTGTGTAGTATGGGGCTAGCCCAACCGAGGGGATATAATGTATAGGCCTGGTGGGTTCAGGGTCTTTCATCTTACATCTGTCTGCGTGCAGTTTGGAGGTGGAAGATACCTGAGCGTGTAATGTTAATTTTACCTGTGATCCTTTGAATAAATCAGCACTGTTTTGAAGTTACTTGGACTGTCTCGTCTCTCAGAGTTAGCATGGTAAGAAGAACCAAAATAGTTCAACAACAATATTCTATAGCTATATTTGAAGCAAAGCTGGCCATAGCACATAAACTGTGTCAAAACATAGCAGAACCATTCAAAAGCCCAAATAAATGTCATAGGTTTAACCTGGAGCTCTTCATTTTGTGTGTAACAATTCCAAAAACCTTTGAGCTTAAATCACTGGTGAACGTTGTCAGATACTTTTATGAGTAGGAACATCTCATGCAGCTCTCATCCTTCAATACAGTAGTTCCAGATGTTAATAGTTATCTAAAACAGGCATTTCTATTTAGCTGATCTTTCATCTCAGGCACCTGATTTTTAGACCAGCTTTCATGATAGGATGTAAAAAAACATATGAATGTCAAGCCACAGTGTGGTGAAAGAACCGAACGGCTAGTTGATTCAGTCACCGACTAGTTGCATCAATAAGTGATGGAGGAATAGAGGAAAGCATTTAGGACCAGTTGGTGTTTTTTTCTATTGTTTTGGGATTGTATGGTCTTTTTCACAACACAATCTAAACATGGGAATAGGTAAAAACATTACCGGGAATTTGGGAAGCTTTTCTGTCATGACTGTTTAATTATTCAATACACATTTACTTGGCCTCCACAGCTGTCTGATATTACTGTCTAGGGTCATATGAGTTCAGTAAAACAATTCATTTGGGACTGTGATGTGCACACTGGAAGAACCACCTCAGTGTATTACTATGAATGCACCTTTCTTTCAATAAACCATATATCCTGAATTATGTACATGTCTTTGATTATACAGTCAACCTCCTTTAAACCAAGTCAAATGTACCATAAACAATAGGCAGTCAGTGTTAAAGTGTCACGTGCATGTGTCCATATGTGACTCACTAGCGCGACTCTTGAATAAGTTTCCTTCACTGACGTCACTGCGTGCGCAGGTGCCAGGTAATCACAGTCGAAAAAAGGTAGAAAAAAAGATAGTGTCTAATTTCCTGCGCGGTTATGGGGTGGCCACAAACTCCGGAGCACGAGACACGAGATCAGTGCGTTAGGTGAAGCAATGCACGATGCATATGCGGCGTCCCCTCCACCCACCCAACCCCATCCAGACGCGCTGTCTGCGGACCCTGCGCTTGTCTACGGTGTGCTACACATCCACTATTCCTCCCACCTCCTGTCGACTGACGCGCGCGCACACGAACACACACACACTCATACAAAGACGCACAAACGCAGAGGAAGTTAAAAAAAAGCCTGGTGACAATAATTACACTCATCCATTGTCCATTACCTGCTGCGTCTTGATCTCTCCAATCAAGCTCTGCGTACAAAAAGTTAGAGGATTAAAACAAGCACGCCGTGTCCCCCCGTGACTCCAAATGATTCGCAAATGTGTCTATATATCTCTCGATGAGCGCTACCTGGGCACTTTCTAACGATGGAAAACGACGGAAAAGGAGATTATAAAATATATGACATTTAACCTAGTGAAAAACGGAATTCTTCACCTCTATTTACGCGCGTCGAAAACTGTTATATCCGTTCAGTTTATGCTTTTGGGATGACACCGTATTAAATAAAAGTTCCAGTTTTTTAGGGTGACAATCCGAAAGAGTCTGTTATCACATTTAAGTATGATCACACTCCAATGCGCGTCGATCACGTCTTTCATTAACTGGCAGCGCCAAGTTTAGCGCGCATCATTAACAGCTGATTCACAATAAACCACGGGGCTGTGGGTTCAGTGCTGCGCAGATCCGTATCAGCGCCGGCGGCGACTTATTAAATGAAATGAAGATTGTTCTTAAAAAACTGAGAGCAGCTTGTTAAATATCCACATCATGTCAGTACAGCGCTGCAGCATCGTTGTCTCTCCTTTCACCGGCGATTTTCAAAAGCTCATTATTTTCTATTTCAAGAGTAAGTAGATCAAATAGCTGGCTTTTGAGTGGTCTCTGTGATCAATGTGCACAGTAGCCTTTCTGCAGCACCAGCATATGGTCTGCAGTCGCACATTTGAGGATATATGCATCACAAGAGCCCTGGTTCGCGCTGCTTTAACTTGATCCGATAAGAAGATGACATCCCAACTTTCAGCAGACTTTTAACAAAGTATGATCCCCCCCACCCTCTCCTCCCTCCCCCTCCATGTATCTGCATATTTGCAAACACGGGCCCGTTTTATTCGCACCTACCAAAGCAGATCCGAGCAGAGGGGAGGGCTCCCACAGTCCGAGCGGTCCGTTTCTCAGCCTGCCGTGCAGAATGGTAACAAAAAACAGAAAAGGGTAGAAAAAAAATATCTTATTCTCCGAGAACACAATCCTACAGAGTATCTGTCTGTTAATGACAAATGTGAAAAGAAAAAAAATATTCACCGTCAGTTATTTTAGAAAAGCGTACTTTCTCAGAGGCTGAACGCGTGGGTTCCCCCAGCTTTCTCGGTCCTTGCAATCCCACCTCTACATCCCCGCTTGCAGAGAGGAACATGCAAACACATTTCATAGATTTTTGGAGCTTCGCGGAAAAGCCGAACTGGACTTTTCTGCTGTGCGCGCGCGTCAGCTGAGGCCAGCTGAGGCCATACGGTTCAATGTGATTTGAGGACAGCAGGGGAGAAAGGTGTCCTTTCCGAATAGACTGTGGGCTGGCGCAAGATTACTGTAGGCTGTCTGAATGCGCACTGGCTCAAATGGGAGCCTATAATTAATTCAAAATATCAAAATGTTGTTTTATTGTTTAAGCAACATAAAAATACCAGAGTGATTGTTCGTTTTGTTTTACAAGTATAGGTTAAAATATATTAGATAACTAAACAATATTTTAAAATGATATTATATGAACTGTCACATTTTTGTGACAGATGTGATTTTGCATGATGTGTTCTTTATTTTAAGCTTTAAAACTAAGAAAACACACAGATGAGTTCCCTCTTTGTCAAGAGGAACGTGGAGTAGTACAGGGTAAACACGGGTAAACTGAATTCACCCGTCACTGGGTTATGAGAGGTTATCCACCATGCAAGGCTGACACAAATTGCTCCGCCTCTCGCTCAGCCCCAGAGTCCACTCCACCTCTTTCGACTGTCCTGTCTGCTGGCAGGCGGCCAACCCAAGTGTGTGGAAATGACACCGCCAGGGCGGCAGAGATTTTCCTTCATTTCTCTCCTTCCCGATCGCAGACTGGCTGACATTGGCTAGAAAGTGGAGCAGCTCGTCAGGGACAATCAATGCGAATCGATCGAGCTGTGCGGTTGAGGCTCCAGAGCTGGAAAATATCGCGGCAGCTGAAGAGAGGGAGAAAGAGAGAGAGGGGAAGAGGAGGGGGGTGTTCACTAACTCTGCCAGTAGCCAGCCAACCTCCCTGCAAACAAATATGCTCTGGCTCCCATAAACATGACACTCACTTAGTAGCTTAAATACTTAACTCGAAAAGCCACCAAAATGCGTAATTACGCACGGGTTTTGAGTTCCAAAAGCATAAACACTAAATATATTCATCAGTTCAAGTTATTTCATGTTGTATTGAGTGTAAAATAGTTTAAGTAATGTCTACTAACAAACTATCTTAGTTCTGTGAATTTAATACAAGACCATTACACTTGTCTCAAGACAAAATGACAGTCATATGAAAACTATCTCACAGATCAGAATTCTCCAAGCTGCAATGAATGGTCCTCTAAAGACTCTAGTACAAGTCACATTGTCCATATTAATGATTTTGCAATACGTTATTAGAGTTATATCCTAAAATGTAATATTGTTTGCTCAGATGGCATCTATTCTCAATACCACGCCACAATAGTCTCTTTCATTCTGTAAGTCAGTATAAAAGAGTGGGTGTAATGTCTAAAAAATTAAAAGTCTTATTTTGGCAACTCCTTTGTCGCACAACCATTGTTTAAAATTCTAATTAAATCCAGTATATATTGAGTAAAATGCAAAATTTGTATGGCTATGTGACTTCTCATACTGTAACCTGTTGCACTGAACATATTTATTGTCTCCTGAAATTACTGCCCAGCTGTGCTGGCATCCTCACAACCAAGACTGACAGGAGTTTTCCAGAGTGGTTAAATAATTCAGAAATGTCTGAAAGGGAAAACTGCAGTGAAAAAAAGGCAGTGGACAGATGTCATTAGAGGCTGATTAACACATTTGTCTTTTATTCGTTTACAATCCACAATGGATACTTCAATTCTTCACCTGAGGTGATAAAACACACTGTATATAATCCTCTAATATTCACCAAATGCCACTGTAGACATACCTCAGTCCATTTAATGTCATTTCTTGGTGAAATATCTACAAAATCAAGCAGCCCTTCAAGTTGTAAACATCCTCAAAGGTTCATATAATACAAGTAAGAAATATCACCATTTTATGTTTGTGTATATTTGGAGTAACCCACAGGACGTGGGTCATTAAATACGGGGAAAAACTGTGATCAGCAATGATGGCTGTCTATTTTTGTCTGTACGTGTTGCATGGATGGGGTATGATGGTTCATAAAGTCTCATTACAATGAAACTTTTCAGTGTGAGCTGGGCTGTGGCCTTATGGGTGAGAAAAGCAACATTGCGGGAGAAACAACAATTTATTAGTAGAAACAAGGTCAGCCAAAGCTAAAATGTTGCACAAAGCACCCAGTTCTTTTTTCATTGCATGTTCCATGTATGCACACCTGTGACCTGTGATCTAGTTCATCTAAATGAGTGACATAGTTTGGGGTGTGAACTTGATCCAACAGCACACTTCCAAGTGAAAAGCTGAATAAGAATGGAACAGTTTCACTGCTATGCCCCAAGCATGAGAAAACTGAGATTACATTTATACACAGCAATTTTCAGGCAAAATGTTCATATTCTAAATTACTGCAAAAGCTTATCTGACAAAATGTTTAGGTTGCACATATCTGTAAAAAGCTTCACTGACACTGACACAATAGGTTAACAATCCTGTGGCCTTGAATGGGTGGATGATGTGTTTATAGTTCAACATGAAAGTCAAGAAAATATGGTGGTTGTGGTTAAATAATGATGTTGATCACACTGTAACATGACACTGGAGTTAAAGGTGTTTATGTTTCAAAGTTTATTTTAATATAAAAGTACATGTGTTTGTCACACAGCTGTTCAAAAACTTGTCTTCAAGTGATATATTAATAGAAGACCACAGAGTTCATGCCATGCTACAGCTGACTGCTTTCTTTGAAGCACTGCCCATAGAGCTGATATGTGAACACACTGACAAAATAATCCCTGATGTCACCATGTCCCGAAACCAGATTTTGACACAGTTTTGTTAACATTTGAATCCAGAGAGGACAATACATGTCTCTGTCTTTCTTACTTTATTATTATTTTACTATTTTTGGGGACATTGATTACAATTTTATTATTGTTTGTATATTTTCTTTGTGTTTCCATTCAGAGGTTTAAACCATGTCACAGCATTTATGTAGTCCTATAGAAAGAACTAAAACAAACAGGGATTATTTTTCCTCTATCTTCTTTTGTTCTTTTGTATCTTTCTATGTGTCCTCACTTTTGACCTTCTAAAGTCCTCTGTCTCTGGTCTGGAGTAGGAGGAATATTACACTGTAGTCTGCAATCGTACGTGTCTTTCATAGGTTGAAAAGAAGGTCAACGAGAGAAGTCAAGAGAGAGAAGGAGAGTCATGCATGGATGGATGGGTAGGAAGGAGCAGCAAGCTGTGACTCTCGGACATGTTCTGGTGAGTGCGCTGAACCCTGGAGGCTGCAGCCACACTCAGCTCTTTGTTGTTTTCATTCTGCACAGGGAGGCAGGGTACTTTCCTGAGCCGGGGAGGAGGATTAGTGTTGCATGGCCTCCATCCCCAGCTGCACACATGACCGGCACCAGAGGAAAGCCCCCAAAGATGGCCCAGAGAGGGGAGCGCAAATGATAAAGGGAACAGGGCGAAACACGAACGTCAGCTTTCTCCAGCACTGAGGAATGTTGCAAGCCCTGTAAACTCTCCAAATGATCACAGTACAACACTTTCAACATCCCCCTTATTTCTGAGAAGCTAGCCTCTTGTTCTGCTACTTGTTTATGCAATGTCTCTTTCAGCTTCTTTCACTCATTGTCCAGCAGTACACACACTCTTTATCCTTCAGTCCTTATCCACATCAATAAATGTAATCAGTCCATCTCTTCAGTTAAAATCAAAATTACAATAAAAAAAATTAACTCGTGTTATCCCCAGCCCAAACATGTGCAAAGCACTGCATCCACTGGCAAACAGGGTACTGAACACGCCCTCTTCTGTTGGCTGGTTTTTAGTGCCAGGTGATGTCACTTCCTATAGAATACCATTGATCGTTAGTCGTTACAATTTACCAGCTGTTGGAGGATAGTGTTTCGGATTCTGTTTCTTTCCACAACCTCCCATTTGTTTTTAGTTTCCCAGCAAAGCAAATGATTTAAACAGCTTTTTTTCTGACACAATCAACCTTCAAAATGTCACAGAGTAAAAATGTTGGACAACAAAAATGGCTTTTTTTTCTCTATTAAGTTATCCTAATCACTTATTTTAGCAAATTCTCATGCAAATCCTCATCAGTTATGGATAATCACATCCATTCTGTTCTTTATCTCGCCACTAGCTGCACCTATAGTTGCTTCAAGTATATTACTCTGCATGCAAATTCACATCACATAGTGTTTATATTTCAGTTTCTTTATGGGTTAAACAAACAAGTTACAGTGTACTACTTAGAGTGTTCTAGAGGTGCACTTGGTGTATTTTTGAGCCTGGGAGTGAGCCATACTAACTGTTTCCCAGCTCGATTCATCCAGTTATAGGGGGGCTGGAGCCAATCCCAGCTGACACTGGGTGAGAGGCGGGGTGCACCCTGGACAGGTCACCAGTTTATCACAGCACTGACATGTGGACAAACAACCACACACACTCACATTCACTCCTACACGCAATTTGAAGCAAAAAAGCAAATAAGCCTATTTCCAAAAAGTCTAACCATACATTTAACTATATCTAACAAACTAACTATATTTTAGGCCAAAATAATAGAAAGACTTACATTAAAAATTATGTGTATTTATGGTTGTATTACTTTAAAAATAAAGAGAGAACAAGATTCTTATGCTGCGGAACCCAGTGAATTTCTGCCATTACTGAGCACATGCAATTCAAATCAGAATAAAACAAACTCATTAAATAAATCTAAACAAAATGTAGACATGGAAATGAGGAAGTTCAAATTATTTTTTACCTCAGGGTGTCATGTAAATGGTTAAATATTCCATTAATCTGTATAATATTTGTTAAGTGAGCTAGTTTGACAATGAGCTGTTACAGTTCCATGAAAAGACTGATGCATTTTTGTGAACTGGTATAATTGAATCACTTACAACATAACATGCAATCTAATTAATTTCTTGTACTATTGATCAAACTGCAACTAAATAACTGGGTTAATAATGTTTGAACATACAGATGGATAAGCCACAGTCTACTGAGACAGGCCATTCCTTGGTGTTATTATCTTCTCCCATTGTGCCAGGACAGCATGTCAGCAAAACCGGTATTTAAAGGAGGAGTCCGCAAATGTGCCTGCCAACAGGTATTTACCCTGGCAGAAATACTCTACAAATGAGAACTAGATGTTTAAAAAGTCAATCTCATTTCAAATTGGGTTTGCACACTTTTGCTCACATCTCTTCCAATAACATGTCAATAAAAACCAGTGGAAGGCTTTTTAGCCAGTCGCTTTATTTCTTATTAGATATTATTATTATTATTATTATTGTGCATACATGATTCAAAGCTATTGTTTATTCTGAACAGAGAACAAATAAAACAGCACAAAATTCTGCAAAGTTTTTCTCAACTTTCTGGTTTATCTGTACCAGCAATTTTGACAACTTCAAGGTCATAGTACCACATGCACCTGAACACTCTCCTATCAACTGAGTCTCTACAGTGTTATGGATTTTGTACTGTGTTTGCCCATTCCACTTAACAAGCCTAAGTCAGTCAGACCTGCTGTGAGCCTCACAGCTCGTCTCTGCAGAGGCCTGATGAGCAACACTGGCTCCATTTCTCCAGATTTCTTACTCATTCTGACACTAATCACATGCTCAGCCTCACATGTCAGGAAGAAAGTGGTTCTATTGTTTTGACCGACAGTATGAGGACAAAAAAGCATGACAAAATTACATCAACAACTGTTTTGCTTGTAGCACTAAATAAGTAGTGTCACTGCCTTCTCAATAGATCATATGTCTAAGTATAGAGTAACAAACACAGCCCCTGTGTAGCAGTACAGGAGAACAGCTGTTGCTGCTGTAGCAGTTAAAGGGTCGGGGCCCCATCTAGTGGCAAGTCTTTACACAAGCTGCCCGAGAAATATATGATTTTAGAATAAGAATAATCATTACAAGTTTGAAGTTGGCTATCAAAATTGTGGGCTATTTAAATAAGAAGTAAATCATGACAGCAATACTGTAGTGAAAAGAAAAACTCAAACGGTATTACGTCATGTTCCTTAGTTTTGGTTAAAAGTTCACTTGATGCAAAGTGACCAATTAAAACAGTAACATTCATGATTCAAAATGTTATGTAGACATGTTAACACAAGTAACATCAACTTATGTTGGTGCTTAGATTTGTATAACCTTTTTTAAAAAAAAACAGGAGATCAGAAAGGCACCGGGCCCAGACTGTGTGACCCCCTCTTGCCTGAAAAGTCTGTGCTGACCAGTTGGCTCCCATTTTCACGCAGATCTTCAAGAGATCACTGGAGCTTTGTGTAGTTCCCTCCTGGTTTAAATGTTCCACCAGCATCCCAGTTCCCAAGAACTGGAACTAAATGACTACAGACCTGTCACCCTGACAGCTGTAGTTATGAAGTGTTTTGAGAGACTGGTATTGGCCGACCTGAAGACCATCACGAAGCCCCAGCTGGATCCCCTGCAGTTTGCCTAGTAAGCAAATAGGTCAGTGGATGATGCAGTCAATATGGCATCCTGCAACATCTTGACTCACCAGGGACCTATGCTCAGCATTCAACACCATCATCCCAGACATCCTCTTCTCCAAACTAACCCAGCTCACCATGCCTGCCCCCACCTGTCAGTGGATTACTAGCTTTCTGACGGACAGGAAGCAGCAGGTGAGGCTGGGGAAAACCACATCCAGCACCTGGACTATCAGCATAGGTGCCCCCCAGGGATGTGTGCTCTCCCTGCTGCTGTTCTCCCTCTATACTAATGACTGCACCTCAGGAAACCCATGACAACACAAGGGTCATTGGCCCCATCCAAGACAGCAATGAGTCGTCTTGCAGATGGGAGGTTGAACAGCTGGCCCTGTGGTGTGGTCATAACAACCTGGAGCGAAAATGATAGTGGATTGTAGGAGGAGCTCCCCCACCTTATCTCTGCTCACTATACTCAGCAGCACTGTTTCAGTAACAGTGTCCTACAAGTTCCTGGGCTCCACAATCTCTCGGGACCTGAAGTGGACAACCAAGGTCCTGAGGTACAGTCATTGGTAAAGAGGGAGAACATCACCCAAAAGGTGCACCAGAGGATGAACTTCCTGCTCAGCTCAGCTCAGGAAGTTCAACCTGCCTCAGGAGCTGTTGATTCAGTTCTACAGAGGAATCACAGTCTGTTCTCTGCTCATCCATCACTGTCTGGGTTGGCTCAGCAACCAAACAGGACAGGAACAGACTCCAGCAGACAGTCAGGACTGCAGAGCAAATCATCGGTGCCAGGCTGCCCTCCATGGAGGACCTGTACACCTTACGGGTCAGAAAGAGAGCAGAGAAGACTTCTGCAGACCCCTCACACCCTGGATACAAACTCTTTGAACTCCTCCCCTCTAGATGGCGCTACAGGTCACTGTGCACCAAAACATCTAGACACAGAGACAGTTTCTTTCCTGGTCCATCACACTTATGAACAGTCAGTCTATGTTTAAAGGTCTGGCAGGATGATGTACACATCAGTGTGCAACAACATACAGATGTACCTTAGCTACAGTAGCTCTTTTAACTTGTTTACATGTATGTGTATACACTTTTGTCTGTTTTTTACTTGTGGTTTTGGCTTTATTCTGTTTTTATATTGTTGTGTACATCAGGGGCCATTGGGCTGGAGTCAAATTCCTTGTATTTTTTATCATACTTCAATAAAGTTCACGCTTATGCTTATGCTGCTTTTCATCAATATATTATCACATCTAATGTTTTAAAGTCTTTTTATACTTCCACAGTATTTGAGTTTGTTGTCATAAATATTTGTGAATCAATATTTATTCATTTTTACATCCAATGCAGATAAATTCTGAACAATGAACAACAATTCACTCCACAGATTTACCTAACAATTTCAAAATAATCAAATATTCCGATGTGGGCTAACTGTAATCACAAGAAAATAAATGTACTGACCTCTCCTTTCTCACAGAATCAAAACCATGTCACATCATTCCATCTCTAAATGGACAGTGTCAGTTTGTCGATGTTTTGTCGCCACCAAGTGACGTTTCTCTGTCAGCATTGCAATAATTCACCTGGCTGTAAAATTCGCGGGCACGTGGGCGCGTGTCATCAAAATTAATCTACCTAGTTATTGTGACTGTTAATCCTGTTTGAGACACGGCCCACGACCTAGTCACAGTCTCATCTTCAGACTACCAAAATTTCGAGAATACCGATCGCATGGCGCGTCGTGCGTGCGTGGGGGCAACCCCGTCTCAGCTTCCATGTGATGACAGCCCCGTGAAACATTTGCGTGGGAGTTCCCTCCACCGACAAGTCGGTGTACAGCACGTCTCTCTCTCTCTCTCTCTCTCTCCCTCTCCTACTCCCTCCCTCTCCCTCTTTCTCCCTCTCTCTCTCTCCGTGCGTCCTCCCCCACAGTAACAGTTTAGCAGCAGCAGCAGCAGCAGGAGCTCTTACAGCATCCACCATCCATCCCTGCTTGGGAAGCAGCAGCAGTCCTATCCGGCGCAGCACCGACGCACGGCATCATCTAGGCCAAGTGATGCCACAGCATCAGTCGCATTTCGACACCAAATACTGAAAATACATCCTAAAGGAGGGAGAGAAGACACTTCAGCCTCGAAGACAGCAACTGCTCATGAAGATGTCTAACGCTGACATCGTCTTAAACGCCACCGATCGGATGGTGAAATGTAAGTTATCCTGCATTTGGTTATGGATGTGGATATTATGTAACATCTTAACTATGTGGCTCGTTGCGGTTTGGCAGAAAATGGTCTTTATATTTCCTGTCGTGCATTAATGGTGTATATGTGGCCATCAAGTTGTGTTCATGGCGATCCTGGAGCTCTGATGTTGATAAACAATCCAACAAAAAACGGACATAAAACTTTAAACAGCAGCAGCGTATATATCCTACATACAGTATATAGCCACTATATAGGCATATATTAATTCTCCTAATGAAGTGGCGTTTTAATGCTGGCTGTCATGGTTTGACTGTATCTTGGCTTGGGCTCGGGTAGGCACGAGAGGAGACCAGGAAAAACAGCTGAATGTGGTAGAAGCTGGAGCAGTGATGCAGCAGGATTTCGCAGGGAGAGGAAGAGGGCATGAAACCGACATTTAATGAGGAATATTTTCTCAGGAGTGAGTCATGTTTTAATTTGATTAGAAAAGGTCTATAAGGAATCCCAGAAGCCACCTCAGCAGACGTGCAAAAAGGCTGCTCTGTAAGAGAATTACTGAGGATACAACTTGGCTCAGTGGAGGATGATGAAGTGCTCACAGTTGTGCCGTAACTCATTTAGCTGCGCTCATCTTGATTCTGGACCAGCTCACAGTCAGCACTGTGCCTGAATCTATTCACATCTAGTGTATGATTGTAATGGCCGAGCAGCTGCAGTCAGCATTAACAGCTCTGTCCTTTAGGCTACAGAGTTGTTGAAACACAGAGTAATCTGCACTGAGAGCTGTACTCGTGTGCCAGTGGACAAATGCACTGTAAAGGTTGTTACAATTCAGTAAGATTTAGTTATTATTCTAATAGCCTGGACCGCCAGAAAAGGAACTAGATTGTTAGGAAAATAGCCAGGTCCTTCCTGAGAAATCATAACAGTCTTTTTTCTGTTTCATTTGTAGTGAAGCACTTCATTCGTGTGATGTAACAGACAACCGACTAGGGACAAAGGAATAGTTTCATGTTGCAAACTGATATTAAAGTGTAACAAATACTTTTGTGTACATAAACTGTTATTTGGGTTAGAAAGTTGAAATAATGCTCAACGAACATAGGTATGAATACTCCTTTTGTGGCTTCCATCTGCTCGTTGGTTTTTGTAGTTCACTTTATTTAAAAGCCAAAAAAAAAGTTGTAAAAAGCTGAAAAGTGAAAAATAAAATGAGATGCAAGAATATAAAGAACCAAAGTGATCAAAGTAAGGTATCAGGAGAGCTGAGATCAGTTCAGACAGACATTTCAGTTATTGTTTGTGGTGCATGAAGGAGACTACTGAGCACTGATACTACCAGCTACTCCAAGTTATTTTTATACCTGTGTATATCCAAGTTTCTCACTGGTTCTTTTTTCTCATACTAACCTGACAGAACATACAACAACTGCTGATCTGTGCATTTTGTTTTCATTGCGCTGTCATCTCTGCGCCGTGGCCATGAAGTGGAAGGTTTAGGTCATTTATTATATGAGGCCTTAAAGTAAATAAGCCTGTGAACTATCTTGCTTTATTATATTGCCTTAGAAAAACAATCTTCTTCACATTACTGACTTATTGAGTTCACAGAATCTGAATTCTGAAGAAATGCAGAATGTAAATCTGGAACAGTTTGTAAGAACAGTTCCAAGCGATATGAAAATAGTATGTACTGACACATAATCATTAAGATCAAAAGGCCAAAATATTTACTCCGGCTTTCAGCAGCATGCATGCAAATTAGTTTCAACATCACGTGTGCTGCCATTAATGATTTATTAATGGTTATGATGCAGGATTAGTTGTGTCTTGTCAGAACAGATCTGCTTTTTGCTACATGTTTAATAAACATTAGACACATACAGTGTATTATATATCATATAAAGTAGATTATAGCAGGTGGAACTATGAAGGCTGTGGCTGAAAAATAAAACAAACAAGGGTCTCATGGCATGTTAAAAGCTTGATACCTGGCTCAGGGTATGTTAATTAATGGACACTCTTGTGTTGGTCTAATCAAGCGATGCCATCTAACCAAAGGTTGCTCATTAGCAGCACAAACCTATCACATCACATATTTCATTTTTTTCAAGATGGCAGGATAGACAAGTCATACTGCAGCAGTAAGGTGCACGATTTGAACTTCGTACCGAGTCACTTTGATGCGACCTGAAAATGTGATGTGTCTATTTATGAGCATTTTCACATGCATCTACATAAGCCTCCAGTTCAAATTGCTGTTTTCTGTGGCAGCACTGGATGTACCTCAGCAGTCAGCTGCTGCTGCTGCCGTTGCCCGGCAACATACACTATTTCATAGTTAAACTCTGCTTGGGTGCTGCGCAGAAGTCGAGGTTTCATCTCACCACCCTTTATATCTGAGTGCGTCTGTATTTGCACCTACATATGTGTGTCTGCATTGTTGGAAATCATTTAGGTGTCTCAGTTGCTTTTGTTTTTTGTTTGTTGTTAGTGGACTTAATCATTTGTTGCTCCATTCTGCCTAAAAAAAGCTAAGAGTAATGTTCTTTTCACATGTGGCTCCTTTGCAGTACATTTATAGAAAATAAGAGCTTCGTGCTGGCTTGGTGCTCTGTATCACACTTACTTTTTTATTACTTAGATGTAGCATAAATTACAGCAACTACACCAGTTTCAGTTCATTTCAACACAGGTTATGTTTTCATCCCTTTCTATCTGAGAAGATATACTACATTACCTTTTGGTAATTGGCAACTTCCTTCCAGTTCTGACTGATACTTTTCAGTTGTTTTAGCTCATGGATTTATTCACTTCCTCTCAAAAAAAGAATCATTTTGTAGAGGTAAATGATCACTTCATATGAGTTGTGTCATTATGCAGTCAGGCTGCCACTGTACTGTGACATTAACTCAGTGAAAACTCGAGAAAACTCGAGCGGCACTGGTGACTGTGCTGAGTTTGTACTAGTTGGTAAAGTGTCAAAGCACACATCACCATCACAGATACACACTGCACACTGTGAAAATTTTTTAGTCCCATTAAATCCATTCGCCGGGGCTTGCCTCATTATCCTAGGAGCTGCAACTTTGAGATTTCTCTCGTCGAGCATTCATTATTAAAGAGCATGTTGATCATGTTTAAGCCTGAGCTTTGAGACTCTTCCTTTGTCTTTTCTTCATTTGGCACCGCTGAGTGGCCCTGTTTGCTATTCACTGCACAAATCTGGCAAGCATACCCTTAGACTACTGCTGAGTTCTTTTGTTATGTGCACATATGTGACTTTGTGTTTGTATCTAGCTATTCTAAAGATTTATGCAGATGGACACCATTTGACTGTATTGCATTGTATTATTTTCACAGCTCCAACACTTAGAAAGAGTTTTCTGTGTTAAGCCAGTTTGATCTGTAGATTAACTTTAGTGCATGGGCCCTGAGAGCTTAAAGTCAGAGCACAGAGATCAGCGCTTTGCTGTCGCTGAAGTAGTGATGTATGGTTGGATTTCACAGTTTCACAGGCAGTCTGTTGGGTAGGTGATAGGGTTGCAACGGTATGAGATTTTCACGGTATGACCACTGTCTCTGAAAATATCATGGTTTCATACCATGGTACGTCATGAAACCAGTATACCACTGCGACTCTAGCTACTAGGTGACTGGTGCATTTTAATGGCCACAGGATTTAGCAATCCAGGGAGAGTGCTGGATGAATAGTCAGTGCTTAGATGCTAGGTTTTATCAGTCACAGCAAGTAAGCACACATCTGTCCTGTTAGCAGTTGACAGTTGTTTGTGTCGATTCCAGTTGTAGTATTTAATTTTCTTTACAAATGTGAATTACTGAAATATAAGAATATATATGCAACACATTTAAAGCACAGTGCAAAAGTAAATGCATTGTACCTCTGACCCACTATTTTAAAAAATACAATATGAACATCTGTAAAGAATAATGGTGACATATGTATGATTCCATTTCCTGCCTTATTTGACCCTGCAGATCACTTCTCATACTTTATTGTTTATAAAGCCATGTTTATAAAGATGGTTCTTGTGCATTTATACTGTCAACAAAGACGGATGCAGCAGCAGCAGCACACTAATACCTGCAGGCAAAACATGGAGGGGGTTGTTTCAAACACGATTTCTACATGAATTCCTTGATGATGATATGTTTATATTATTCATTTCAGTGTGGTTTGCCACCATGTGTCTGTGCTCTGTCCTCAGCTGTCCCCTTCCCCCTGAGCCACCGCCTTACAATGAAGGAAGTATTTGACTGTGAAGGGAAACCTCGTGTGGATCTCCTGAAAGCCCACCTCACCAAGGAAGGCCGTGTAGAGGAAGCTGTGGCACTTCGAATCATCAATGAGGGAGCCGCTATTTTGCGTCAGGAGAAAACTATACTGGACATTGAGGCACCAGTCACAGGTATTAAATATGCTAGAGACACTTATATACAAGTGATAAATTAAAGGAAAACCAAACATAAAGAGTCTCAGTAAGGTTTTGACCATCATGTGCCCCCAGAACAGCTTCACTGCACCTTGGCATTAATTCTCCAAGTCTCTGAACACCTCTGAAGGGATGAACACTATTCTTCCAAAAGATATTTCCTGATCTGGTGTTTTGATGGTGTTGGTGGAGATGCTGTCACATCTCCCATAAGGTGTTCACCTGTGTTGAGATCTGATGACTGTGAAGGCCACACCATATGATTCATATCATTTTCATACTAATCAAACCATTCCGTGACCCCCAGTGTCCTGTGGATGGAGGCATTCCTATTTTTCCTTTAATTTGTTACATGTTCTGCTGCATTTGGAAACTGTAAAGACTTGGCATTTTGGTTAAAAGTATTCTGCCTGGTCAGCTGTAATATGGCATAGGGCTTTAATCAGAAATGGTCAGGCTCACCGCTGCTATCTACTGCTTCAGTTTGCATAAGATTTGTCTTGTGAATGTTTCATTGTGCTACAGTTTAGAAAACTGGATGATTTACTGGATGATTAACATACATCCAGTAAAAAATATAATAGAAAATTTTGAATTGCTAAAAGCCCGGAGCATTTGCACCTTAACAGATAACTTGTTTTTATCTGTCAAACCTGCAGTGTCTCAGTTATATTATAAAACATGAATTTTTGTCCTGTGTGCTCAACCACAGTTTCCCATCGTTGTCGTTGGTACAGTCCTAGACACTTTGGTATCCATGCCTGTCAAAAGAGGAGACTCTGTATAGAGTAGTCTAGAAGTAGTAGTAGTAGTCTAGAGCCCTTCTTTTCAATAAATTCTTAAAAATCCTCATAAAGCTCTTGCACTTTTGTTGAATTGTAAGACAACATTATTAAGTTTTGTTTACTTTAGCATGTCATTTCACTTCACTCAAAACTATATGCTATTAAATATATATGGATCCATATATATTCATAAGGTAATGTGCATGCCATCAGCTTTGTTGTTTTACTTGAAAGCAAATCCAGTACTTTTACAAAACAAAGGTGACAAATATATGAAATGCACAATGACTTGAGGAGAAGACTCCTCGTCTCGACCGGTGCCGAGAAACTAGAGGTTTTATGTATTAAGCATGAAATATGGATGGTGAACTGAATATTCTGTATGGGCATTTGGGGAAGTGGAGGTCTGTTGTGTAGCTTTGTGAGCTTCAGTTGTGTTTGATTGCCCCTGCAGCTGTGTATACTGTATTCATATATTATGAAGCATTTGCACATCTTTAATTGTATGGTTGTGTACTATGAGTGTTTATGTGTGTGCCTGTATGTATGTGCACATGTGTGTTTGATTGCTTTAGTCACACAAGCAGTCTCCCACTCACATTGCTCTAAGCTTTGAGTGGGCGAAGGCCACTGTGGAGCTGGTAGAGGAGACAGGAAAGAGAGAGGAGATGGAGGATGAGTAGGAGAGAAGGCAACAGAGAAAGATGATAATGAAAAATTGAAGGAAATGAGATGTAGGTTTGCACGCCAGAGCCATAGTGTTCACTACGAGAAAGTATGTACCTTCCCTTGAGCTTGAGCTTTTCCTGCTTCTGAGGTGAGAATTTCTCAATTCTCTTTATAGGACAGAAGCCTTTAAGCCAAGGATGACCTAAGAAATGTATGCCTGTTAGGGTGCGCTCGAACACAGAGTGAGCGAGCAGATAAAAAGCGGACCCAGGTAGCTGGCTTCGGTGCAAGCAGTGAGGTTTATTTACAGTGAAGGTAGTGACATATATACAGGAGGAGTAATGAGGTAGATGACCGGGTGTCGATCAGCAGCAGCAGAAAAACAGTCAGTGGTATGGTGGATGATGATGTACCGGGCTGCGGACGCAGAGGTCACTCCTGGGCTGGTCAAGGTGGAGGTGATGATGGCTGTAGACAGAAGAGCAGGGATAAACTGGGTAAGGGGGACTGTGCATCGACCTGGGAGGTGGTGGCTGGTGGTGTAGATTAAATCCAGGGGGGCCCAGAGGAGAGGTCCGAAGAGGAAGAAGACACTAGAGACGGCAGGGCAGGATAACGACTAGGGTGCTAACAAGGACTAGAGAGAAGAAAGACAATCTTAGCATAAACTTGATAAAACAACATAACAACCACTGGCCTGAAGACAGAGAAAGAACTGGCAGGGGAGTGACTGGTGAACAGTGTATAAGTATGGAGGAGACTAATGAGGTGCAGCTGGTGAGTAATCAGGGAAGCGGGGCAGGTGTGTTGAATAGTGTAATCAGTGCAAGGGCTAGGCTAGTGTGAGGAAGAAGAAGAGAGGAAGGTGGAGCTGGGCAAACCTGACAATGCCACTATTTTCTCAACTCCGAGCATTCCAAGTACTTTCAGTATTATTTTGGACTATTAATACAAGTCTGTAAATGTAGATTAAGTCTTGCTGCATTTACAGACACACAGGCCTCCTCTGCTGCTCTGTTGAATGTTTTAGTCCATCTTGTTTCTACTTGAAACAACTTTTAGACATTTAAGAAAGGTCAGTGGCTTAGCAGTTAATAGAATAAGAAGCACTTTATTGTGACAGTGTTAATAAATGGCTGTGCTGTGTTCTCCATTGAGTTGTGTGTGTTGAGGGAGCCTCAGCTGACAAATAGCTGTGACATGTTTACATTAGCATACTAGCATCAAACTAGCATACTCTGTTTTTCTGTACATTGCAATAGTTCTCTATGACTGTTTATGGTTACATAACACCTGTATGTCATCATACATTATTAACGAGAGCCAGTAGTAAATATAGTGTTTTGACTTCTTATGATCTTACCCTCTTAAAAATACATGTACATAACACATAAACTCAAGCATCATGACTGCATGAACACAATCCTCTCAACCGCATATCAACCTGTAGTTATTGTTTCATTGAATGCACTGTGCCAGAATGACCAACACAGACCTGTGCTGACCAGGACGAGAGTGTTTATTTTTTTCACATCACACATGTAAAAAAGATGGATGTGCACAAAGATGCATACAAAGATATTCAATGAGATCCTGTGATTCGGTAATGTTTGCTGTCCTTTGGTTTCCAGTCTGTGGGGACATCCACGGACAATTCTTTGACCTTATGAAACTGTTTGAGGTGGGAGGATCACCAGCCACAACACGGTATCTGTTCCTTGGGGACTATGTTGATCGCGGCTACTTCAGTATTGAGGTAAAACCATCAGAATATCATTAAGCATGTCATATAAGAAACAAGCTGCAGAAAGCCTCATATAGTTACACTAGGGTCATATGGTCATCAACATAAATTATAGCTATCTTTGCATCTTTTTGCATGAAATAATACTTTGATTATGTTTGTTTTGACAGTGTGTTTTATACCTTTGGTCGCTGAAAATCCTCTATCCAAAGACTCTATTTTTACTTCGTGGAAATCATGAATGTAGACATTTGACAGAATATTTCACCTTCAAACAAGAATGTGAGTACTTATCAGTGTTTATCATGTTGATTTTTCCTTTGTTTTGCTATTGTCATGTGTAGCCTGAAATATTTTTGGTTCAGATTAAAAGTAATGCACCTGTGCATTGGGACTGTCAAGTTAATTCTATGTGACAACACAAAAAAGGAAGATGGAATTACCAAATCTGTCAACAACTGAAACTTTAGAGTTGATATCAAAACATGATTTTTTTTATATTGGCAGATTACCCCTTTACATATGTCCTCAAAAAGCCTCATCTCATTTAGACGAGCCAATATTACTATATACGTACTTGTTTTATAATGTTTGTTGTCAATATTCAAGGTGACTCGCAAGAACAAACCAACATATATCATATTCACAGTGTAGCCTAATTGTCCAGAAACCCTGTTTTTTTAATTGATATTGTGTCACAACTGAGAACACTGATGTATCTGATTACATTTCTGTCTCCTGTCAGGTAAAATCAAGTACTCAGAGCAGGTGTATGACTCATGCATGGATGCATTTGACTGCCTTCCTCTGGCTGCACTCATGAACCAACAGTTTCTGTGTGTTCATGGTGGACTGTCACCTGAAATACACACCTTAGATGACATTAAAAAGGTAAGAAACTACTGCCTCAGCGCTACCAGCTCTTATTTCACTTTGTTTGGTGTATGAGGTTTTTATATAACCTACATTTCAACCTACATCTTCTTTATGTTAAGTTGGATCGGTTCAAGGAGCCGCCGGCATTTGGGCCTATGTGTGACCTGCTGTGGTCTGATCCTCTGGAAGACTTCGGCAATGAGAAATCCCAGGAATACTTCGGCCACAACACAGTGCGAGGCTGCTCCTATTTCTACAGGTGAGTTGTTGTTTCTTCTGGACCTTTTGGATTATGGTCACTGGAACACCGTTGTTGTTTTTAATTCCAAAGTTACCAAAAGACACAGTACAGTGTTGCTTGCATGCATGCATTTGTATGCCACCTTGCCTTGTGAGCAATCACCTACACCAAGTGCATACCGATTAGTCATTCTGATTACATTAGATTGACCTCTGGGGCTCAGTGCTGGTCTCTGAATACACCTTTGTTTTAAAAGAATGAAAGACTGCAACTCGCATTATGAACCCTTCAACAATAAATCCTGGGTCATATATCCAGTTTAAGCTAAAAAAGAAAAAAAAAAGGTTTATCAGCCACTAGTCAATAACAGCTGCTTCTTTGTCACACCTTTCATTAGACACTCGATTAAAAAGAGTGAATTCAATAATAAGATTCTACATTATTAATAGATAGATATCAAATATTTATTGCTACCTGAGCAAACCAAAAAGAACAAAACAAACAACAGGTGCACACTTACACCACATGACATGGGAATGACTTGGGAAGGAGCCATTTTCACATATGAACTCTGGACTGTGTTCATGGAATCAGGCCCAGACTGTCCAGAGTTGCCCTTTCACACATGCAGCACACAACAGTGTCAGACATGTTCTCACCTAATGGAAATACTCTGGTTATGCCACTCCTTAAATTTCTCTAATGATTCTGGCACCAGAGCTTAACAACAGAATTTCCTGAACCACGTCATGTCTCCAGTTAGATATTTTTGTTGTTGTTTTCATTGCAAACTACCATTTTACATCACCACTGGGTGTCTGTATTCTGACAGTTTCGGGTTGGTCACATGATAGAACCTCATCAACACATCCACTAGCTCCGTGTGAATACTCCGGACTATATGCTGCTGTTTTCTCACATGGGCTCACCCTATCTCACTCGGACATCACACAAACTTAAAAGTCCAGCTCAACTGACTCCAACATTTGCACTGACGCATACAGCTCCCCTGGGTAATAATGTCTAGATAATTTGAGGGCTCCAGTGCATGTCTGAAAGGGGCTTATGATTAAGGAGACTGCATGGCTTCATGAATGAATATATAAACATTTCCTTAAAGACTTAGACAGTGCTTGTATGCCTTGGGGTTAACAACTGCTTCTCGTACTCAAGGAACAAATCGTTACAGATTGAGGATTTGCCCAGCAAACCTGTAGTCAAATAAAAATAGAGGCAGAAAAAGAATGGAATAAAATATACAAAATAAAAATGAAGCAAATTGTGGAGTGGGTTTGTTACACAACTATTCAACCTCCATGACAGTGCATGTAAAAGAAGGAGGAGTGAACACTGTCCTAATGTTGTTGTGAGAAGGAGCTGTGGGAGTAGGTGGTGGTGAGGAGAAGAGATTAGGTGGCAGTTGTGGTGAGAGTTTTCTTAATGAAGGTTTAGAACAGTACAGACCCCCGCGTGGGAGCTGTAGTTCTGCTGAAATCACAAAATATAAAGTCAGGAAGATTTATTCCTCCTCTGAAGAGGAAATGACATTCTGGGCAGTGTGTGTACTGTGTAGGACAACTGCAGCTCAGATTCACATCTTAACCCGACTGAAAGTCTCATTTTGGTGCATTTGCATGTACAGTACACGAAGAAGCTACGATGTTATCATTTGCTCCAAATATCAGATGATGTAGTTCCACTGAATGGCTGAGTAGAGCTGTTTCAGGTTCACAGGTTTTTTTTACATACTGTGGATCACAAAACCTATCATCCTGACAGTTTTGAACATTTTAGCTGGTTAACTTTTGCTGTTCATGCTGCTATCATTACTGCTGATCTTTTCCCAAAGCCTGGTGGGTTTTAAAATTTTTGAATGTATTTTTGTTTTTATGTATTTTTGTGCTTTAAGGTAATTGAATTTGAATTTCACCCAGGATCAATAAAATATCTATCGATCTATCTATCTACCTACCTAACTGATTTGTTTTAATTACAGAAATCAACATACAAGGACAGACAGCTTGAAACACAGTGGAAAACTTGCTAATTTTACTTTTAATATTTTACAGTATTTTTTCCTGTTATTTGTGAAACAAATGCCACCTCAAGCAAAGAACATTTGGAAGCCCTTCTTTTTATTGAGCTTAGGGCCTTTTCTTTGTAATAAATGGAACGAATGTTCATTGTGAAGCAAAAGTTCATTTTATTACCTCTCAGAGATGAACTAAAACCAGTGATTTCCTGAGGTCTTATAGCATATTATTCTTTGGAAAATAGTCAGCAGTGCTTAAAAATATTGTGTTCAAAACAAGCGACCTTGCACCTGACATATGGCTGACACTGATGATGCATTGGTAGAGTTTATCTTGGAGAGTAAATGATTAAAAATGAAGCAGGCGAAGGGTCTTAAAACCTTTTGACTACTGTTAAATAGTCACTGATAAGAAAGTGAGAGAGGGGCGTTGTAAGCATTATTCTGTACAGGTGTGGAGGATGCTTCTATAATAGTCATCTATCTCCCCTTGGCTTTGTAATGACTTCACTCCCAAATGTACCTCTCTGTCATTATGACTCTTGCCAGCTATACAGTATGCAGCACAGAGAACCACATTCTCCTGGGGAGCTTTGCGAAATGCAAGAAAATCTCTGTCCAGAATAGAAGTATAGCAGGTTGGGACAAAGTTGGTGCATTCAAATTAAATCAAAAATAGTGCTATTATGTGTTATTTGACTTTCAGCTATTGACAATTAATGTTTTGCACACACTGATGCAATTAGCAGCTTTATTTGACTGCCTAAGCATGTTTCATAACATTAATACACAAAATTTTTTAAAATAATTTTTTATTTGCGAGAATGCTTGAAATATATATTATATTATTTAACACCATAGGGGCCTAAATGAATGCACACTGGAAAAGTGGTTCTCTCTTTTGGTTAAATAATGACGTTACTGCCCATAAAATAATCCAGAAGCTTTTATACCTCACACAGTATTTCTTGATTATATTCATTTTGAAATGTTGTAATGCTGTAAGGTAAGGTTTGCATGAAGCCTACCTGCACTACATGTCAAGTTATGTTACATTTTGTTCTCCATCTGACAAAGTCTATCTTCTTGAGCAATGATTGTAATTAGAAAATTGATTAGGTGATAGGAATGTGGTTATAAATGGTTTTTATACTGGGGGAAGTTCCTGTTCTGACCCGAAGCCTGACAGATGGATTTTCTTAGGGGAAAGAAAAAAACCTTGCAGTTTCACACTCACGGCACAGCACTTCCATCTCTCTCTGTCTCTTTTCGCTCATACTCATTTGTCAGATTTCTCACTCTCTCTCACTTACAGGCTCACCGACACACAATTGTGTGTTTTCACAAAGGGGAAGAGAAGGAATGTGAGCTGCAGGCAAGCGATGTGTGTGTACTGTGTTCCCTCACAGTAATCAATAGATAGCGTTGGAGTGGACAAAAAATATATTAGCACATAGGGTGTGATGGGATCTTTCTTTTTATGTTGGTACATGACATTTGTGCCAATACCTTGCACAAGATTGTGAGACAAAAAAATACTTTTGCATCTATGACAAATATAATCTTTAGTAAGTGTGATGCAAAAATTGCATTTCTAAATTTCGAAGTTAGAAATGCAGTGCAGATGTGTTTTAATAGAAACCGTTACATAACAGTTTTTGCAACCTGCATTTTGTATTAAGATGCACTGTCAGGTATAGTAGAAATCGCTACAGCATATTCATGTGATGCATAAAAGCTATTTCTGTTATTTAGGCTATATATTGGCCATAAAAAGAATGTTAGCCATGACCTAGATATACAGTATGAGGGTGGCACAGTTTTATCAGGTGCTCAAGGCACAGCAGTTTCCTTGTTTCTGTTCTGGTACAAACCTTTGAGCAATTAAATATTTTAAAGACTGAAAACTTGATGAGTCCATGGACGGCAGTGACTGTAAGGAAGGGCTGAGAGAGAGGACTGCTGCTGGGAAACATACACTGTATGTTAAGGTAGCAAGTGATTACACATTTTGGAAACATATTAGAAACAATGCATTTCTCAAATTTGCGTCTTTTGTCTTGTTTATCACTGTAAAGGGAATATTGCGGCTTTTAGACTGTCAGTCAGACAAAACAGCAGATGTCACCTTGGACTCTGGGAAACTGTAATGGTCATTTTCATTTTTGTCCAAACTTCGTAAATCAGTAAATGAGTAAATCAGAAAAGTAATTGGCAGATCACTTTGATAACAAAAACAATCATTAGTTGCATTTCTAGCAGGAATATTCCAACCTGATTATATCAAAGATAAATAAAGAGTTTATTTCTTCTCAGACATATGTTTGGAATACAGCAGTGAAAGGAAATAAAGGAATCACAAATGTCTTTTCAAACCCCAGTACCCAGGGAAGTAACAGACAGAGGTGGTTCTGTATTGAGTACATTAATCGTTGCATTTTGAAAGAGCTAATCAAACTGTAAGCTATAGTTTGTTTGTTTTTTTACTAACCCAGGAGACATAGTTTGAAAGGATGATACAGTTTCTGAATGATGTAACACATCCTTCCAGGCATTATATAACAACTGTGTTGAGAGCTGTTAAATGGTAGGCTACATTCACACTGCAGCTGGAAGTGGCCCAGTTCTGATTATTTGTCCCTCCTGTGCAACACAAGTCTGATGTTTTCTGTGCACTTTTAATACCCCTTTGGATGCAAATTAGGATCCTAAATAAGCATCATGTCTGATACATGGGCATGTCTGCATTTTCATATATCATGTGGTTTTCATCATCTTCCTCTTTGAGACAACTGCTTATTCATCTGGCCAGAAAAACAGAGGACAACTTCAGCATGCAGCCAGTGGAGAGATAACAATATCACCATTTTAATGAGTCTTTGGGAAATGATTCAGTTATATGCAGCAGTGCAGAGCTAGTATTACAATTAAACAAGTGTTTGGTAATATTAGTGGATCTAATGGAATGTCAGATGCTGTTCATTTGCACATACATCTTTTTTAAGATGAGGGCCATCCAAACTGATATTCATTTGAAAATGCTTTTTGCTCCTTGTCTTTATCTATGCAGTCAATAATACACAATTAAATGTGCCAAAGAAGGGGATGGCAGTCATATGGAATCTCAGTATACGAGTTCAATGATGTTTATGCATTATTTGGCCCCAAAGAGGGTGGTGTCAGGCCATGCTGACTTATACTGTATCTTCAGAACCCCACAATAAGCAACACCATTTTCCAGACCTAACCTACCCTTAACACAAAGCATCCCTGAACCCTGTCCTCACCCAAGCAAAGAGCAGATATGTGGCTTGACACACAGCATCAGCATTGAATTTGTTTAGGATAAGGTTTGTTTCACTCTCTCTGTGCAAAAGAACACAACCTCTGGCAGCTGTAACCTTATAACCTTATACATAGGTGGCAGGCGGAGCTAATTTATGGATCGTATTTTGAAAACAGAGGGTAGAGAAGCTGCAATACAAAAGAAGGGATAGAGGGGGGGAGTATAACAGAGAGACACCATGTCCTATCTCATTTTCACTTGATTTATCAGACAATGTGTAAACTTTTAGTTAATGCACCTTTAAGCAAGCTTGCAAATAAGTGGGTTGAGCAGAGACAGTTCAAAGAGACTTATTTATTGCAAAGTTCTGTATTGGATATGCAGCAGCTATTTTATGCCATGTGTGAGAGTGGTGTACTCAGTTGCTCAGAAGCCTGAGCTTGCTTGCAGGCTTCACTCCCTTTCAGGCACATTTCCTGTCAGGACAGGAAGCTCCCACTGCCTTTTTACTGGGTTCATTTTTTTTTTTTTTTACTATAACATCTAGCTGTTGGTGTTTCACACCCTTGCATCAGCCTCACCAAGGCTTTCATGATGAGTGATAAATATTGGTTCTTTCATTATTTTAGTAAGTGAAATGTTATGAGATTAGTAATCTGCAGCTAAAAATGTAGTTCTGTTGTTTAGATTGAAAGAAACGTTTTTAAAACCTGTGAAAAGATTGTGTTTAAATTACTTGAGTTGTACTTTATCTTTCATCACATTAAAAGCATTTTCAGTGTTGTTTCTAAAACTGATTTCATTTACTCTTTTCCAGTTATCCAGCTGTGTGTGAGTTCCTACAGAGCAATAACCTATTATCAATTATTCGAGCACATGAAGCACAAGATGCTGGGTATGTTCCTGCAAAACAAAAAATAGACATTAAAAGAGATATTTATTTCCATATATAAGAACAAACTGCTTTTTTGTCTTTACCTCCATCTGTGTACCTTCAAGCTACCGGATGTACCGTAAAAGTCAGACCACTGGATTCCCATCTCTCATTACCATCTTCTCAGCACCAAACTACCTGGATGTTTACAACAACAAAGGTCAGAAAATCTCTTCAGTTTATACCAATCTTTGTTTCAGTTTGCATATTTATTTGCAGTTCCCATATATCATACATTTCTATAAATAAATTCCTATGTAAAGCAGGCAGGCAGGGTTTTTCGAATTTAATTTACTTTTTGTTTATTATGTCATTGGAGCCTGGTATTGTGACAAACAGGAGAATACCTGCACCTCTACTCTTTTAGTTAACTGGGTTAGTTAAATGTTACAAACAAAAATATCTAGTTTAAAAAAGAGCCCAATATACAACTTAGTGATGGACAATCCCACACAAAATATCTTTTGAGGCTACAGTATTATAGCCTTTTAGCGTAAGGTGTTAAATGGTCTAACTCACCCCTACCTCGCTGAACGTTTAAATCCCCGTAGGTGTTCTAGGGCCCTCAAATCAGCTGATCAGCACTTCTTGGAAGTACTGAAGACAATGTACAAAAGACGGGGGGACCAGGTCTTTGCTGTTGCTGCCCTGAAGTTATGGAACACTTTACCTCTTGAGCTACGCTTGATTTCAGATTTTGCTTCCTTTAAAAATAAATTAAAAACTTATCTATTTAAATTGGCTGTTAACTCCCAGTAGAGTTTTTTTGACTTGGTATTTTGACTTTTTAACTTTCTGCCTCATGTGATTTTATTGTTGATTGCTTATACTAGTTTATTGGTTTTATTTTATTGTTTTGTTTTTATCTTATTGTCTGTGAAGCACTTTGGTCAATCTGTCGGTTGTTGCAAAGTGCTATACAAATACATATTGACTTAATTTGATTTGATTTTGCATCTGACAAAATGACTACCATGGGCTCCTTTCACTTTTGTATGAAAATTGTTTTAACAGTCCAGATTGGAGTTGTATGAGTTAGTGTAGCTGCATTTAACCTGTGAGCAGGCATAAGAATGCATGAGGGAGCCCCGTTTGTTTGCTTTCTCAGATCTGTGTCTTGGTTGCCATGGGCTATGAGAGATAAGGGAGCGTGGGATGGACTGTCGGCACTGCTGACTATCTCCATGTGGCTTTGTCCCTCCTGATGTAACAGTGTCAGCTATCCCTGGCCTCAGCTGGGCCATCTAGTGGTTGAATGCCTCAGTTTCTGCTTTATTTCTGTTCTTGTAGTAAAAAAAAAACCCCAGTAACATCACCAAAGATGAAGATTTCTGAATCATGTACAAAACATTGTTGTGCATATGGCTGTGACAGTATTCACTGAAAGGATCCTGCACAGTGCACACTATAAAGCAAAATGGTGGTTTGTGTATCACAGAGGCCAATCTACTACTGCTCTGGATGTATTTATTTATTATATAAGTATAGATGTGTGTTTTACTTTGTTCCTTGAGCAAACATCATAAAAACACAGATTATACAGTATTCAACATGTTTTACCAGACTACTAATTAAAATGTACCTGCTTTGGAGATTTAGTGTGTGAATGTAGCTGCAACATCCATTTACTTCAGTTTTATTGGCAATAAAGTCCACAAATAAATTTGAATAAAGAAAAAATACTCCAAACCAAGCAGACCACAACATTAATGCTTATTTGAGCAAACAGTGAATATTTGCTTGAATTATAAACAGTTTTGACTAGCTGTAGTTAAGGTATGTTAGGGTTGTTCTCGTTTAGTCATTCTACCACAAGTGCTTCAGTTGTTCTGCCTTAGTAAACCCAGGATTTGTCTGTGAATATTTGTGCCAGTATGCCAGTAAAGGACCGATGCATTGTGACCCATGATGCACACTGACAAAATGTTTACATCACCAGTCTATAACCTCATGCATGATTTGAAATTTTTGACTTTCCTGTCTCTCTTCTGTTTCCCCAACAGCTGCTGTACTGAAATACGAAAATAATGTCATGAACATCCGACAGTTCAACTGCTCACCTCATCCCTACTGGCTGCCCAACTTCATGGATGTCTTCACCTGGTCTCTGCCATTTGTTGGAGAGAAAGGTAACAAATTCTTCTGACATCTGTCAGGTGTTTTGTAATACAACATGCTAGTCCCTTTGGCTTATTGCTTATTGACTTTACTGCTTTCCTTCACTGTTTTTTTCCCAGTCACAGAAATGCTGGTGAATGTGCTGAGCATCTGCTCTGATGATGAACTCATGAATGATGAAGATGAGATATTTGATGGTAAGAAGTCTGGCAAATAACAGCTGTTTATGCAGAAACTATTCACACTAAGGAAGGACTCATTTCTTTGAAGCTTTAGGTTCTTTCTCTCACTGACAGGCATGGTAGGAAATCAGGCATTCAGCTATACACTTTCTCACATGCTTTTAGGCTTTGCCTTTAAATACTGGATTAAATTTAGTGCTGTGACCATACATGCAGTAAATTGTCACTTGATCTTGATGTGTTCATTACATAAACTAAAACAAAAAGCTTATACAGTAGTTGATGAGTACAAAACATACTAAGGCCGTGTTTTTTGCATCGGAGAGAACAATAACACAGCTTATGATTCACTGCATAGGACTACGATGATCTACAATATAGTGTCACATGGGCATATAATTAATATATTACAGTGGCTTGTAACACTATATATCAGTATCCTATGCATAATGAAACAGTTTTTTCATGCACTATACAGGCTAACAATGAAAGCATACTGTGTATTGTATCAGAGAAGCCTACAATGACAGTATGCATATATATTTCTTTGCAGCCAATGCAGCTGCAGCACGCAAGGAGGTGATCAGAAACAAGATCCGTGCTATTGGGAAAATGGCCAAAATGTTCCAAGTTCTCAGGTAGAGTTTATGTTTGTGTGTTTAAAGTATGAGTATATAAGATTTTTAACTGTGCTAGGTGTACATTCGGTACATGTGTGTGTAGTGGGTGGGTTTCATATGAGCACACACTGTTGTCAAAGTGGGGGCGTGAAGTTTTTTTTCTAGTTTGAGAGCAAGGTTTTTCAACCTATTTGCCCATCTCTGTGTTTCTTGCAGAGAGGAAAGTGAAAATGTGTTGACGCTTAAGGGCCTGACGCCCACTGGCATGCTGCCGAGTGGGGTTCTGTCTGGAGGGAGACAGACACTGCAGAGCGGTGAGTACAAGGCCTAACATAAGCATTTTCTCTGTCATTTAACTCCATCTCTTTTCTTATCTCATCCCTGCCATTGGTGTTACCTCTTTTTCTTATCAAGTTGCTATAGCTAACGGCTTGCCTATACACATTCAGCAGACACAGAACAACATGGGAATTCCATCAATGTCCTATTTCTTACTTCCTCAGGTTTCTTATTTGCTCACCATTCAGTTATTCATTGGTCTGCCAAATCTAACATTTAAAAAATGAGAAAAATATCTGTCTCTCTTTTTCTTGCTGGATGATTTTCCTCACCAGATGCTCCTTGACCTCAGCACTTCATTAAAACTGCAATTCCTGTATTTTACACTAATTTCACAATTTCTGAAACTGTGACATTAACTAGAACAATTCATTTCTGTTCTTGAACTTAAAATCTATTACAGACTCAACTATTATTTGGTCTGTCTAAATGTATTTGTCTCTCTGTGATTTTGCATTTGCTGTTTTTCATATGAATTTTCTAAACCGACACTGTTCCTCTCAGTATGAATGCATGGTGCTCTTCTGAGTTTGGCTGCATAGCCACTCACCTGGCCTCACATGAGCTGCTGTTTTTGCTGGGGCTGCCTTTTACATCTGCATGGCTTTATCAAGAGTAACTTGCTCCCCTCCCCCCCCCTCAGCCACCATTGAAGCCATTGAAGCCGTTGAGACGCATGATGAGGACATAGAAGGTAAACCTGTGCACCCCCTTCCAATCCTCTCAGGGTTTCCTGCAACAGAGGTCACCTGCCACTTGCACTGTCATGCACACAACAGCTCACATCACAACTCCATCAAGGAACATTTCAAAGAATAAATCTGATGTTGGTATAGTTATTTAAAACACAAATCCAACTAGCTGTTACAATTATAAATGTGAAAGAATCTGTTTAAATGCTAAAAATATTTTATGAAAAGCCACAAGGTGAAATTAGATAGATATTTGTAATGTAGGCCACCTTATGCACAGTAAGGATTTTTAATGAATTGTTTACTGGGTGCCCATTTGGTTGAGGCACTGAAGGAGAAGGGAAATGAGAAGATAAACTGTTGCACATTTAATGCACCAACAGTAACTGTAACAGACATTTGGAACTGGTCATTACAAACTGGGAGGAAAAAGAATAGCATTTGAAGAAAAAGAATAGCATTTGAAAACATTAATTAACCCGCTGCAAAGTCAAGTGCTGCTAATAGATGCATGACTGACATACATCATTGTTTTGGGTTTGCTTGTAATGGCTTTCATCTGGTTCTAAAAAAAGTGTTGCATGCACTAGAACAAGAAACAGACCAGAGCATTAATGAGAAATATGCATCCCAAAGCCTCAGTTCCTCATGATCTGTCTGAGGCAATCGTTGCTCACTGACCAAAAAGCTGAGACCACAATTTACACCACCATCATAAGTGTATAGTGGCAAGAAAAAGTCAGTGAACCCTTTGGTATTATTTGCATTTTTGTATAAAAATGTCTTAAAATATGGTCTTTGTTTAAGTTAAAACTATGTAAAAGCAGAATCTGTATGATACAAATCATTGATTTTTGTTGTCCAAATTGAAAACATCATTCAAAAATCTACAGTGTATTTGTAGTTGGAAAATGTGAACCCCTAGAGTAATGACATCAACAAAACTTCACTGGAATCAGAACCTGGAGTCCAGTCAATGAAACCAGGCAGGAAGTGTGCATTAAAGCTGCTCTGACTTATAAAAAACACTCAAACATTTTGAGTTTTCACAAGAAGGATCAGCTGATGTGAACTGAGCCTCCCATTTGCTCAGACCTCAGAAGAGTGCAATGATGAATTGCTGATTTGCAAAAGTCAAAGATTTTATGCATTCATCTGTCCACTGTTAGACAAATTGGAGACAATCTAGTACTGGATTTACCCTTCCTAAAAGTGGGTGCCCAGCTAAGATAACTCCAAGGCACAACACAGAATGTGCTAAGAGGTAAAATAGAGGTCCAGAGTAACATTTGAGTGCTTAAAGGAATCGTTGGAGCTGGTTAACAGCTCTGTTCAATAGACTACTACTACTACTTTCAGCTGTTCCCATTAGGGGTCGCCACAGTGAATCATCAGAGCTGGTTAACAGCTCTGTTCAATAAACTACTACTACTACTTTCAGCTGTTCCCATTAGGGGTTGCCACAGTGAATCATCTTTTGGCATGTATACATTTGGCATGCGTTTTACACCAAATGCCCTTCCTGATGCAACCCAAATTGGGATATCTGTTCAATAGACTACAGTATGAAAATAATAGAGCATGGTGTCCCTGGCAAAGCACCATGGAAGAAGCTGTACTTTCCAGAGAAAAACATCACTGCACACCTGAGGTTTGCCAAATAGCACCTGGGCATCACACAGCACTACTGGGAAAATGTTTTGTGGGCTGGGGAAGCTAAGGTGGAATTGTTGGAGAAGAACAGGCAGCACTGCATACCAATAAGAAAAGATCATTCTGTGTCTGCTTTACTGCCTCTGGGCCTGAAGAATTTGCCATCGTTAAAGGGAAAATGAATTCCCAATTTTATCAAAGTATCTTACACAATAATGTCAGAGTGGCTGTAGAGGTTGGGTGATGCAGCAGGACAATGACCATAACCACAGAAGTACATCTAATATAGAATGACTTCAGACTAAGAAAATCCACCTTTTGAGGCATTTCAGTCAGACTTTAATCCAACAGAGATGCTGCAGAATGATCTCAAGAGAGCTGCTGCTCACACCTGACATCCTAACATTATGTCTGAGCTGGTGCAGTTCTGTGAGGACGTATGGTCCAAAATTCCTTCTAAGATTGTGCAAGTCTGATCTGCAACTGTCAAAAGTGCTCATTTGAGGTAAGTGCTGACAAAGGAGGTTTGACCAGTTATTAAATCCAAGGGTTCACTTACTTTTTTGTTATTAGCTTAGTTTGTTTATGGTTGTTTTTATTATTAATGCAGGAAACCCAAGTAATTCTCAAGGGTTCACATCCTTTCTTGCCACTGGGTACTGTATTTTTTGTATGTACTATATAACTTCTTTGAAATAAATAGCAGAATGAAATTGCTTAGACGTGTGCGACATGTTTTTTCACAATAAGGGTTGAAGTCCCTGCTGGATTTTTGCTACGGTGTATGTTTTAATAAATTAGACAGGAATGTACAGTTCCCTCCTTCCAAAATGTTTGCAACAGAGACCCATCATCTGTCAATTTGCGTGCGTACTTCACAAATGTTAGTTGAGGGACAGGTGTCACAAAGAATCTTAATAAATTTAAGCAGCTTCTACTTTGCCATTTCACTAATTCCAACCTCAGAGATAACTCAGTAGCATGTGACCCTATGCATTAAAACACATTTTAAAGTGTCATTATTGAAACAGGGCTAGCTTAAATAGGCTGAGCCACCTGCACTTGTCTTTATTGGTTATGATGCCCAGGGAATCCTAACAATGTTTAACATTTGGGAAGAAACATATAAGATGACATGAGAATGTTATAAGATTGTACTATTACATGGCAAACCCTGTCCCTTTATATAATGCTTTCTCTTTTCAGCTATCCGTGGGTTCTCCCCCCAGCACAAGATCACCAGCTTTGAGGAAGCTAAGGGTCTAGACCGCATCAACGAGCGCATGCCACCTCGCAAGGACGGGGTGAACCATGTGGGTCACTCCATGGGAAAGATGAATATGTCAGAGGCAAACGGCACGGATGACAACAGCAACATCCAATGATGTGCTGTCTGAGCCCCAGAATGGCGCTGCTGTTGCTCTGTGCAGTGAGACATTGCCAAATCAGGAACTCAGGCCTCAGAACATAGAAATCAAACAGGCCTACAGACAGAACATGAAATCTGCAGCAAATCTAAAATGGGCGAAAAGGTCATTTTTTTCATAACGGTGTCATTGCACAGCTGGGGGAGGGGGGAGTTGGGGTTGACAGCTGAAGGATAAGGAGAGGGCAGCAGGCTGCAGCTTGACTGGAGAAACGTGGTTGAAAGTTGTCTCCGCCTGTTGTTTCTTTTCTCAGTTCCATCACAGATGGAATTGTTGGGGGTTGTGTTTATCTTAGCAGATGTCGGCTCCGTCATTACAGGGCCTCACAGATGACATAAATTCCAGTATCCATGCCACACAAATCATTTAGTGTTTTATAAAGTGTTTATTATGAATCACTCACAAATTCACTTCTTGAGGAAAATACTCTTGTTTACCTACATGTTTTGCTAGTATTAATAAGTCAAACCACTTTTTTGAGAAAGAAAGCAAAAAAAAAAAGAAAATGATAAGCCAAGAGTGTACCTCTTAAAACTTGCAGTGCAATCTTACCAGTGGACTTGAATTTATTGTTTTACTGTGTAGTAAGATGGTGT